AATGTGACAGAAATTTTCAGATGTTATCAGAAGAGGTCAGTCAAATCCCAGGGGAGGGCAGGACATTTACAAACAAGTTCAGTGTAGACCGTTAGTGGAACTAAAAGAAAACCAGAAGGTGTATCCTCTCAAGACGCTGAACCAGAGTGTTCAGAGCCACTCAGGCCATAATAAGACAGAAAACATAAAGTCATGTTTCCATGAAATTCAGCCACAGCTGCGCAGTGCTCCAATAACTCTGAGCTGCAGGTGGAATCAGTCTTTTGTATCTGTGAAACTGCAGGGCAGAAGCGCCAATAACACATCACACTGATATATGATGCTATTACACTGCAGACAACAAGATCAGTCAGCAGCCTACTTCAATATGTGCTGCTCTCAGCTGTTTTAACAAATACTGAACACACATTGGCTTAATCTAATGCTACGTACATGGCTGATATTCTTGTAATGATGCTGATGATTCTGGATAATTCGTTAAATCTAGTTAAATTTCCTCTGAAGAAATACACGAAAAGCAGCAAATATAAAGGCTGAAAAAGACAGATTTGATAAAGTAAAAGGAGTCACACGGGATTTTGATGAGACTTGTGGGACTGGTAAGATGAACCAGAAACCACTGAGTGGTACAGGAACCAGTTTGTTCACAACACACCTATCTCTGAAAATGAGTTTGAGACAGAGGTACCTCGGCTACTTTGGCTGTTAAAAAGACATATTGGGAAGATTTCAAGTAATCAGGTGTCTGTGTGTGTACATTATTTTTCTAAATGGACAAATTCTAACTGGAAACTATCACTGTGAGGAAATCGTAGCTGTTCCTCACATCTTCAAAGGGTTGTTTGAGGATTAAAACTCAATTTTAGGGCTCAGGTTGGAAGTAGGTTTAGATTAGGGTGAGGATTTGACATTTAGATGTGATGACAATATTAGAGTAATGGGACAGGGAATGTATTATGTGAATGAGTGTCACTTATAGTATATTAAGACCAAAGTGTACTTCTGTGTGCATGAGTGAGAGATCTCCTGCTCCCTCTGCAGCCATGAACAGATGGAAAGGTGACTTTTTTGTCCTGAGCTGAGTCTCTCAGGATACTCTCCCTGCAGGCTCTGGAACACCTACAGCAACTAAATAAATTTTAATGGTGTAAATTATGGGCCCTGTTCACAAATCATCTTTAGGCTAAATGTAGCTCTACACTGGCCAATTTAGGAGAAGCTCCAAATGCTTGTTGTCAAAGTCTGATCAAAAATACATCCAGTGGTTTGGCTGCACAGGGATCTACCTACTCAGGTTGGAAAATATGGCAGCTTTCCTTTAAGATGCCCATGTTTTTGGTGTAGGCAATTGGACTGGGCTTTTTCTTACTCCTTTGGAATTATTTTATACTGTCTGTACGCCTTTGACCCCAGCCTGGATTTTCACTGTGTTTCTGGTTCTCCCTCGTTGGATTTGTCAGCCTGGACTCACAGTAAGCCTCTGTCTTTCCCTCGTGTTTCACCTGCCAGCCTGTCTGTCTACCCTTGGGTTCAGTCTCTCAGGTTGCTGTTACTTTTAGGAAGAAATGTGACAGTTGGGGTTTCCATGTCTTTTTTTCCAGTTAAAACATCACACTCATCTTACGTGTATGTCTGAGTCACTAAGCCCTGCTCACAATCAATGAGTCTGCTGCTGGTAATGTGCTTTATTTTGTCTGCGTGATAAAGAGCTTTTAAAAAAGGTACAGACCTAATTGTGAGAGTATGATGGTGGTAGAGTTGATAAGAAAGCAATCACTTTGTCAAGAAATCAAAACAGTAACCCCAGAGATGAAAATTTACATAACCCTTCAGTAATGCAACAGTTATGCAGCACATATAAAACTGGAGTACAGTATCTATAGGAAACAACTACAGTAAATGAAGCTGTTTCATGCTATAACTGTGACACACCAACAATTCAACCTGGATGCTGTGTGTGCCATTTTATTAATTTTATCTCCTACAGCTTGGTGGATGGTCCTCTACGACTGTCTCCTTCTGGTTATCACAGGTGCTTGGCTTTGTGGTCAGTGTCTCTTCAGGGTAAATATGTCGATTGCTTTCCCTGCCTGTCTTGCCTTGGATTGATTCTGCAGGATGTACTGACATCAGATACACCGATGTGTTGTTACAGCATGACATGTCACATTCTTCTTTGTAAAGTGAATTCAGACACAGTCTACAAAACAAGAACATCCTGTCTCAAAGTGATGCTGAAAAACTGGTCCATGCATTTGTTTCTTCCAGGCTGGATGACTGTAACCCTTTACTATCAGGAACTAGCAAGAGAGATCATATCTCTCCCATATTAGCTTCTCTCCACTGGCTCCCTGTAAAATCCAGAATAGAATTTAAAATCATCCTCCTAACATACAAAGCCCTTAATGACAAGGCTCCATCGTATCTTAAAGACCTCGTAGAGCCTTATCATCCTAACAGAGCACTTCGCTCTCAGAGTGCAGGTTTACTTGTGGTTCCTAGAGTCCACAGAAGTAGAATGGGAGGCAGAGCCTTTAGCTATCAAGCTCCTCTCCTATGGAACCAGCTCCCAGTCTCAGTTCGGGAGGCGGACACTTTAAGATTAAAACTTTCCATTTTGATAAAGCTTATAGTTAGGTTGACATAATATTGTTGTTTTATCATTAATTATTATTGGTACTGGTGATAATATAGTTGACTCACTGTGGCTGTTAGTGGTGTATTGTTCCTTTATTTGACAATTTTGGTAGAACAGTGTCAGTGGTTGGACACCTGAGCGGACCCGGCTCTCAGAGGTGACTGCCACTACAAGCCAGCTGAACCAGCCACTGCTCAACCTGAGCAGATACAATACAGATGCTGTGTCAAGCCACATATCTGATCTTTGCTTGGGTGAGGATAGGGTTCAGGGATGCTTTGTGTTAAGGGGTAGGTTATGTCTAGAAAATAGTGTTGCTTGTTGTGGGGCTGTGAAGATTTATGAGGCCATGGCCTGACACCCCCTTCTTTGGGGCCAGATAATGGGTAAACATCATTTACTGAGCTTTTTGCACATTTAATTGTTTATTACTGACTGATTATATGAAAAGCATTGGATTAGTGTTTTGTGTTATCTATGTAAATGGGGGTGTGTGTGTGCGTGTATAGTATACACATACAGTATATACAGTAATACTTAATGTTATACGTACAGTATATTGTAGTGTATAGCGTTGCTTATGTGTGTTGTATTATATATATATATATGTTTGTGTGTGTGTGTGTGTATTTATTGTGTATTGTATAATACTGTATAGTATTATAATCCTAGTAGGACAGTGATGGAGAGTAGAAAGGTACTTGGCATGTTATGTTATGTCTTCTGATATTTCATGGCACCATAACAACCTGTTGTGTCCTGATGCTTTTCTCTCTCTTTTCACTCACCCCACCCTGTCGAGGCAGAAGGCCGCCCCCTGAGAGTCGTGGTCAGGCAGAGGTTTCTTCCATTAAAGGGACGTTTTCCTCCCCACTGTCACCAAGTGTTTGATATGGGGGATTTGTTGGGCTTTCCTTATAACAGTGTCACGTCTAGACCTGATTAATTAAAGTGTTCTGAGACAACTGTTGTGAATTGGCGCTGGAAAACTGCATTCCTCACTTTGAAACGGGGAAGTAGAGGAGAGAAAAAATAGGATTTTTAATTTTGTTTACTCAGTAAAATATCCTTCAGTGTTCAGCTGCCAAAACCCCAGTGAGAGGTCTGAGTGTTGATGAAAATGTTGACAAAAATGTAATCTTGTCTAGTTGTGTTTAATTTTAACTGTGTGCTCACATCTTTTAAAGCAGCAATGAATGCTTTGCTGACTGTTTCTCCTGTATGTCTCCATCATCTGCAGTTAGTTTTCACTGAAAGTGAATCAGTGTACTGTTTAATGGCGGCTTTAACCACCTCTCTGCCTCTCTGTCATTAGCATACCGTAGGAGGCAGAGCTGATTGAGTGGCCAGTTGGCTGCCAGAGATTTCTTTTCAGATTCTTTGTTCATGTTCTTCATTTGCACCAGTAAAATTCACCATACATGAGCACAGTCCCCATCGCTTATGTGATCTCTACTTTTCATAACTACATATTAAACAGATGGGAAGGGAAAGGAAGGTCAGAGGCGTTAATAAATCATAACATGACAGCAGTTTTATAAATGTCCACCAGAACAAGTATCTATTCCTCTCTGAAAATTAAAAGCTCTGCTTTTTCTTGAACTTAAAATATTGTAAATTTAACCTTGAATTATAACAAGATTATGTTCAAAATTGGACAACTTTACCTTGAAATGTGTTATTCTTAATGTATGGTGACATTAATCTTAAAAAATGACAACTTTATTCTCAAAATAATGCAACTTTAGTCATGAAATAACCTACAGTTTTAGTTTTAGGAAATCTTATATTACAACTTAATTCTCAAAATATATGGGCTTTTATTTAGAAATACTGTGACCTTATTCACAAACCTATTTTTCAAAATAGCCTATTATAACTTGTCATATGTGGACTCAATAAAGAAATATGATTAGTTTTTCCAATTACATTTTAAATCTGAATTAGCCTGTGAATTTTTGTTGGCACAGTAGTGCAATATTTTCAACTTTTCTCAAAAGAATTTTCTGGACATTAAACCTTTTTTAAAAAAAATATAATTTAATTAATATTGACTTTTGCTTTGAAATGTTATGACTTTTGATTGTCTTAGCCTAATAAATGGATACTATACAGTAATGAATGTCACACTATCTCATTATTTGTCCTTGAAACTGGCAGAAATGAGCCTCCATTTATGCTCCAGAATAAATCCAGATGTGGTTTTGCTGGGGTCTCAGCCTGTATCTCCCCCCCCCCAGGGGGTGATCTTGATAGCAGGGCTCTGTTTCTACTTGATTACCTAATTAATTCACAGATCCACCTTAAAAACACGGTAATCCCGGACTGGTCCCTCCCTCTGTGGCGGTCTGTAGCACCAGTTCACCTCCCTCCTCTCTCAGTTCCCCCAGCTATAGCGAGGAAGGGACGCTGATTCAGGCGTTGGGTCTTTACGCTAACAACAGACCTGGTTGAATGTGTCGGACCCCCCCACCCTCCCAGTCCAAGCCCCTGTCCCACCCACCGCTCTGCAACACCAGTCCTCATTTGGGGCTGCTGGATCTGCTCTTAAGCGCCTTCACTCCTTTGCTTTCATTGCAGGAGAGAGAGGGTGATCTTATTTTTCCCTTTTAACGGATTGATTTCCGACTGAATGTGGAGCTGGGCTGTTTTCTGTCATCGGGGCTGCCGCTGCAGGACCGGAGCTGGTGCGAATGTAAACACAAATTAAAAACACTCTTTTGAACGTCGGAACAAAGGGAGGTTGAAGATCTTTTTTCTCGCCACCGGTCTGTCAATCATTTCTCCCACTGCAGCTGTCAAGTTGGAGCCCTGCTGGGAAATGGACAAACCCCTCTAAAGTGAAGACTGCCGCACTGACACGAGCGCGCACGGGACGTGATTTGGACGGGGATCCCATTGTGACGGTAACGACTGATTTTGTGTTTTTTAAACTTTACTCAGCATAAGTCCGCTTTCTTTCAAGTCACATGTGGCTGAAAGACGCGAAACATAACGCATTTTCCCCGCCGGACACGGTTAAAGTGGCATTTTATCGTGTTTTCAGGAGTCTGTCGTGCCACCAGTTGTCCGCACTGCTTAGCATCCGGGTAACGTTCACAACTGCCGTTTCTTCACCTTCTCACCCACTTATTAGCAACTACGGGCGACGTTAGGATTTTCCACAGGTGCGAACGTACTCCTGCGCCTTTCAAGGGTATTCTAAGCTTTATTTTATAATACTTTCTGCTAGATTGAGCTCACAAGTGTCCCACAGAGGCACGCGCTCAACTCATTTCTTCTCGTCTAACGTCCCGACAGTTTGCTAGGTTACAGCCCCGATACGTGCCTCTCTTTGCAGTCAAACCTGTTTCCATTCAGAAACGTGGACGTCGAACACCAACTTTCATCGCTTTTCGACGAAACCATAGCGCCTTTTAAAATAAACCTTATGGCAACGTACGATCTCTTAGTCAAACATCACATGATTATGATTACATGTCAACTTTTAGACATGTTACGCAGTGGTTGCTAGTGTCTGTCGTCCGGTCACGGCCGTGCTTATCAACCAGGGGATCGTGAGTACACAACAGTTTGTAAACTTGTCATTTTGGTAAAGTAAGATGGTTTTACGTCTAGTAGGGGTATGCCGAACTGAAGAGCCGCTGCCTGGGAGTTTCCGTAATGTTTGAGACTTATAAAACCTCCATGTTCACTACCTTAACAAGAAAATACAAGAAAATGTTGCTGGTTTCCCAATGGCGGTGTTGTGACGGGTATCCCCGGGCTACGAAAGGCATGTGTGGACTATTGCAGTAGCTGCCAGGCAGGAATCGGACCGCCCGTGGATGTCTCTGTGTGTATGGAAACAGTTTGCTCATAGTCTCAGCCTACAGTGTTTTGTTTTCCGACAGATATTTCCCCTGGTAACCAAAAGAACCCTCGGCCATTACACGGTCTATGGCAACTTGATAAAAGACTGTCTTTCTTCCGTGGGCACTGGTTGCTGCGGCTGTTGCTGTTGAAATGTGTGTATTTCTGGTACTGTTGTGGTGTCCTGACACTGTGGTTGTGAATGCGGTGCTTGTTCAGCTGGTCGGAGTGGTTTCCACATTTATAGTACTTTAGCCTTCCAGGTTATCATGGCAGGGTTGCAGTGGAGGAAGGTGACAAATACTTACCGAGCAAATTTTATTTCAGTTAACGAGCAAGAAGCGTCCTTACGTCATTTGCTAAGATGGGCGGTTGAAGCAGAGTTGCTTCTTTTTCCTCGTTTCCTTTCATTTTATCCGTCTCCTCCGCCTCCTCCCTTCTCTATCTGGGTGTGTCCTCCCTTATTGCGTTAGGAAGGAGGGGGGATCCCGCATCTTGGCTCATGGTGACTCCTCCTCAGCTTGTGACCTCCAAACGAGGGCATTGCCTTCTGTTTTATTCAGCTGCTAATTTACCAAACAGATCAGCTCTTTGCACTGAAAATCAGATGCAAGGAAAACTTTGATGTCTGTTCAGAGGAAGAGATTTAGGTGATTCTGAAACTGTTGTTTACTGGATCCTGCAGGGAAAATGGCTACTTTTGATCAAATGTGCTTGTTTTTCCACCTATCAATTCATTGAATTTTACCAGCTGTGAGTCCAAAGATCTGCTACCAAATTATGCAAATCAGTTTATATCAATTTGAGTTTAAGGGAGTGATGCAATGATTTCATTTACAGAATCTCTATGCATGACAGGTAATGAAATACTTGGCCTCCTGCCCTGGCACAGATGGCCTTTGCGAAAAGCCCCTCCGATATATGACTAAGACCCACAGATCTCCTTTTAGTGGTTTTGTGTCTTTGTGGTCATTTTTGTGTCTATATTTAGTTATGGCCATGTGTTTTCTCGTTTTGGTCGTTTTAAAATTTCTTTTTAGCTGTTTTGCTTCTCCCTTTTAGTCGCTCTGTGCCTCTTTGTGGTTGTTATTGTTTGATTTGTTTTTTTGTGTGAGGTTTTGCACATCCTTGTGCTCATTTTGCATCTCTTTGTGGCTGTTTCATGTCTTTTTTTTATTATACATATTTTGTTTATTTTTTGTTTGCTTTTCTAACACGTTATATACCTACTCTATACAGAGGCTCTGGTCCAGGGACTCCCTGATCCCGTGGGCCTGTTCAGTAATTCATCCATGGAGGTCTGAGTCCTCATCGCTCCATATAACAACACAATGTCATTGCTTGTGCCTTGATGTAATTAACACAGAATCTTTGCACACACAATGTTATTGACAAATGCACTGGATCAAAAACTCTGTGTGGTTTCGGTCCTCAGATCTTATCAGGTTTTCAGTTCATAGATTGATTTTAAGTTGGTACATGTGAATAACAGTGTTCATAGGCTGAGACATAAAAACTTGTACCATGCTTTAACAAATGTTCAGGGCTTCCCCCATGAAAAGGTTCAGCTGAGGTTGTCTCATGGTCTAATTAGCTGATGGGTGATGACCTGAGCAGCTCCGACACTATATTTGCTGTGTGAAATGGAACCTTTGCTCTTTTTTTTGGAGGTTAATGTTGTAGTTTTCAATAACAGAGTACATACTGTAATTTTTAATGATGGAACCATGTAACGGACTGGCAACCTGTCCAGGTAAACAAACTCTGTGCTAGGATTGGCTGAACCCCTGGGACACTGCACAGGATAATTGAGAGGTATAGACAAATGGGTGGATGGTGCCAGCTGTCGGTCCACAGCTGAAATTATCCTCATGAATAATGTCTGAAAATGACGCAGCTTTCACACAGAGTATAATTTCTCTAATGTCAGCCTGGACCTCCTCCCAGGTGAGCATATGGTCAGCTTTACTTGCAGACAGATGAGTACTTTGCTGGTGTCTGGAGCTGCTGCTGAGGTCGTGAGGACCACAGGAAGTGGTGGTTCCAGACTCACTATGTCTGACGTCCTAAGGTCCTGCAGGAGGTTCAGGCTACTTCAGCAGCAGCAGAAAGGACAGACGTGAAACTTCACCAGTTTATTTACGCAAATCAGATCCTTTAAGAAAGCTTTGTTGTCGCGCTCACTTCGGTTATTCAGCACCACTGCTCCAGGTGGTGTTATTAGGCAGGTGCCAAAGCCACCATTCTTACAGTATTGTAGAATACTATACTTCTTTTTTTATTGTCACTACCACCATATTTTGAGTAATCAATTACAAGGGAGTACTTTGGCAGAGGTATTGTTTTACCAGCATTTGTTTGTTTTGTTGTTGGTTGTTTACAGCATAACTCAAAAAGTGATGAATGGATTTGGGGAAAAACTTCTGAAAAAGGAACGAACAGAAATTAGAAAAAAATAAGTACTTAAATGTGTTTGGTTTTTAAGTAATGTTTTCTAATTCTAAGATACAATTAATCACACTATAAATGTTCATTTTAAAACCTTGATTTATAAACAAGTAATTGCTTGCCATAATTTTTAGTGTAGTGTTTTATTTGTTTTAAAAGACCATAATTTTTTATAAAAAAAGGGAATAATATTAAATACTAATGATGACAAAGCTGTTATATGTGTAGAATTGAAAAAACAGTTATTTCAAATGTGTGTACAGTGAGTATGTGTAGATTCTGTTGTTGCTTAAGAAAACATTGGTGAATTCCAGTATCTTTGTGAAAACTTGGTAAGTAGGTTTTACAAACAAATTTGTTCTTTAGAAGGGTTTGTGAATGAGGCCCATTGTTTTTTGGTAGAATGGCATTATGGGAACAGTAACCGGACTTGGTGGAGGTTTGCGCACGCTGAGTGCTGTCTGGTTTAGTTCTGTGTTGTTGAAACATCCACTTATGGATGTTGAGTTTTACCTCTGGTCCATAATGGGCTGCCCATGATTTGATGTGTTCTTGCAGTGAATTGTGGGTGACTGAGGCTGCTGTCTTTGAGAAAACTGGTTGCTGGGTTTCCTTTTCACTTGATTCAGGGTTTTCTTTTGTCATCCATTTGTATATAACACAATGACACAGCTTAAATGTACAGTACATGTGGTTTTTGGTGAAAGTGGGTTTAAAGTGTTGCGACCTCAGCCCAGCGTGCTACACTGGACACTGCAAACGCATTGTGCTACTGTGAACTCAGTGGTTCAGACATTCAGATCCCAGATGGAGTCTAAACCACCTGGGACCAGGGTTACAGATCGAAGTGGCCCGAGTCTCCCCAAGGCACAACAGTTTCCTCCCTCTCTGCTGAACTGTGAACTGAACAGCAGAGACTATTTAACTGTTGACTGATGAAGCTCATGGAGCTGTTTGCAGCCTGCAGGCATGATTGACCTTCTTCCCCCTTGGCTCTTGTCATCTGTTTGGAAAACTGGGAAACTGAAAAATAAAGTAGACTTTTTTTATGCAATCAGAACAGGGATCTGCATTTGTTACAGTCCCCGTAATATCCATCAACAGCACTGCTTGGCATGTGAACTATTAATTAAAAATTGATAATTTGTTTTTGAGAATTGATACAGTATGATTCAAAATGTAATGGATACTCTATTGATCCCGAGGGAAATTCAGGCATTCAGTGGCAACAGCAATAATTACCAACATCACAGCACCCAAAATCAAAAGTGTAGACTAAAATACAGACAGAAATAAGTATAAAAATGAGAATAGGAAAATATACATGTATATCGAGTAATGTGTGCCAGATATACATGGTGTATACATAAGTGAATATGCATGGGGTACCTGTGTACGATGCCAATATGTGCAGGAATGAGCAACGTCAGGGACCGTCCCCAGTTGCAGGCTTAGTTTAAAGACGTACTGAAGGGGCTTCCCCAGCTCAGCAGCACAGGCCCTGAGTAATCTAGGATGTTGTCCATCTGGGCCGGCTGCTGTGCTGGGGCGGAGTCTCCTCAGCTCTCCGCTAAACTGAGCTCATCCATGGAGGTCTGAGTCCTCA